ATCAGGAAAGGATGCTGTACTTTGTCAAATGCTTTTTCTGCATCAACTGAGAGGACCATATTGTTCTTCTCCCTCCTCTTATTAATGTGTTCTATCACATTGACTGATTTGCGAATGTTGAACCACGCTTGCATCCTGGGGATAAATCCCACTTGGTCGTGGTGGATGATCCTTTTAATGTATTGTTGGATCCTATTCGCTAGGATTTTGTTGAGGATTTTGGAATCCATATTCATCAGGGATATCAGTCTGAAATTCTCCTTTTTGACACTATATCATTCTTAAAGGGTCTATCCAACAAGAAGATATAACAATTGTAAATATCTATGCCCCCAACATGGGAGCAGCCATCTACATAAGCCCACTGTTAACCAAAATGAAGAGTCATATTGATAACAATATGTTAATTGTAGGAGACCTCAATACTCCACTCTCAGCAATGGACAGATCATCTAAGCAGAAAATCAACAAGGAAACAAGAGCTTTGAATGATACACTGGACCAGATGGACCTCATAGATTTTTACAGAACATTCCACCCTAAAACAACAGAATACTCATTCTTCTCGAGCACTCATGGAACTTTCTCCAGAATAGACCACATACTGGGTCACAAATCAGGTCTCAACTGATACCAAAAGACTGAGATTATTCCCTGCATATTCTCAGACCACAATGCTTTAAAACTGGAACTCAATCACAAGAAAAAAATTGGCAGAAATTCAAACACTTGGAAGTTAAAGACCACTCTGCTCAAGAATGTTTGGGTCAACCAGGAAATCAAAGAAGAACTTAAACAATTCATGGAAATCAATGAGAATGAAAACACATCAGTCCACAACCTATGGGATACTGCAAGGCGGTCCTAAGGGGGAAATACCTAGCCATCCAAGCCTCACTCATAAAAATAGAAAAATCCCGAATTCACCAACTAACTCTACACCTTAAAGAACTAGACAAAAAGCAACAAACGATGCCTAAGCCATGCATTAGAAGAGAAATAATTAAAATTAGAGCAGAGATCAATGAATTAGAAACCAGAAACACAGTAGATCAGATCAATGAAACTAGAAGTTGGTTCTTTGAAAGAATTAGTAAGATCGATAAACCACTGGCCAGACTTACCCAAAAGAAAAGAGAAAGGACCCAAATTAATAAAATTATGAATGAAAAGGGAGAAATCACGACTAACACCAAGGAAATAGAAACAATTATTAGAAATTATTATCAACAGCATATGGGACTCTTGACCCTGGGAAACAAATTGGTGATTGCAGAAAAGGAGGTGGGTGGGAGATGGGGTAACTGGGTGATGGGCATTAAGGAGGGCACGTGATGTGATGAGCACTGGGTATTATATAAAACTGATGAATCATTGAATGTTATATCAGAAACCAATGATGTACTATACTTTGGCTAATTGGATTTAAATTAAAAAAACAAACAGGGGTGCCTGGTGGCTCAGTCGTTAAGTGTCTGCCTTTGGCTCAGGTCATGATCCCAGGGTCCTGGGATTGAGCCCCACATCGGGCTCCCTGCTCCGCAGGGAGCCTGCTTCTCCCTCTCCCACTCCCCCTGCTTGTGTTCCCTCTCTCACTGTGTCTCTCTTTGTCAAATAAATAAAGAAAATCTTTAAACCAAAACCAAAACCAAAAACATCCCTTCCTTAAAAAAAAAACTAATAATGTGTAAACAAGCCCATGATATATTACTAAGTGAAAAAATAAGGTTCAATGCAGTAAAATTCTGACTGTTTACAAATGTGCATATGCACAGAGAAAGAGGGTTAGGCAGGAGACTGTCCAAATATAAGTATAAACTTTTATCTGAATATGACTACTTGGTGAATTTTTAAAAATTTGTCTACACAGTTTTCTGTATTTTCCAATTTTTATAAGATGGACCTGTGTTAATTAACTTTTAATCAGGGAAAGCTAGTGCATGAACAAGGTACACGGAAGAAATAACTGTGTTGAAGAACTGGGATGCTGTCTTCTTGCCCCTGTGTCACCCCCCAGCTGGAAGCACCCCACTCACTCTCCACCTCTGGGTGTTTCAGCAGGATCAGCAGTGCTAGCCGCAGGGTGCTGGTGACTGTCTCGGTGCCAGCGCTGAACAGATTAAAGCCAACAGCTACTAGGTTCTCTGAATTAAATTCAGAATATGGATTGTGTTTTTCCTGTAGATAATGGAGTAATCAGATACATGATTTCATAATAGGTCCTCTGTTAGATACAGACAGATACAGCTTAGAAACAGTAGTAAGTCCTTAGGAGGTTGAATATTTACTCTGTATATGAATGGTTATTTTTATGTCTTTTTTTTGTGCCTGAGTGATTTTCATTTGATACCTAATTTATAATCGGCAAAGAAATTATTTCTAACATTTTGCATAGTGGAAAATATACTTTAAGATGTTTTGCTTTTGACATAGTCTTGAAGAAAAGGTAAAAAAAAAAAAAAAAAGGACCTGCTTGTGTATAAACGTGCGCACGACACACTTGTTCGCGTGCATGGACTCACACACAGGTAGATAAGCATGCACAGCATCCCCCAAGGCACTTATTGTCTGCCCCATGGCTGGTTCTGCCCAGGCATTAGAGTAAGGTGACCTGGGCTCCCAAAGTAGCGATGGTGGCAACTGTCACCCTGCATATCAGCCAGTTTACCCACAGTTGTAGGACTAGCCGGTGAGCTCCTCGTGTGAACAGTCCAAATCGGATCACTTTGCCTAGCAGGTGCGCATACTCAGCCATCAGTCAGAGAAAGGTATACACTCCACATGTAAGCCTGATGGTGGGAAAACACACTGTGGAGGCCCAGGGGTTTCCAGACAGGGGTTGTCAGGCCTGGACCTGAATGCGTGGAGCCCAGAAGAGTGCTGGGCCTGGCAACACCTGTGCTCCAAGGGCAGCCTCCACACCTACCTCCTCCATCCTGTTGAGGAAGCAGTCGGTGTAATCCTGGGGCTGCTCAGGCTTCAGAGTCCCTTGATGCTGTGCCACTCTCTCCAAAATGAAATTTATTATATTCTGAACGTTTTTAAAAAATTTCTGGTGTCGCCCAGGAAGATAGTGAATGAACGATGGCCACAAATTGTAGAGCTGTAGGGAAAAGCCACACCCCCATTCTATCACCAGGATTCAAAAGCCAAGAGAGGGTTGGATGGTCTTGAAGCATCTTTGTTCCAGGGGAACCTATCCTCTGCAGCCCCTTCCCATTTCTAGCTGCAGGATCTCAGGGTGGGCTGCCACCGGCATTAAAAAGAACCAGGGAAGCGTGTGGGGACCTCAGAGGAGACGTGCTGGCAGAGGGAAGCCTGACTGCCCCTCCACGGGCCCTCAGCTGTGTTCCATAAGTAACAGCTTCCTTCCATCTCCCACCTCCCCCTGTGCACCCTGCACTGCTTCCTCCCTGCTGCCCAGACTGGGACTCTGCACTCCGGCTCATCCCTGGGACCAACTGTGGGTCATCCCACAACCAGAGACAACTGGCTTTACCTGCGCCCAGAAGGAGCTCACTATGGAAAAGTTTTCATTCAGCAACATAATCAGCTGCAGGAATTCCTCATCTTGGTAGTCGAAGTGCTCCTTAAAGAGGATGGAGCTGATTATGTTGCAGGGAGCACAAGCGAGGATGAAAGTAGGGTCCACAGGCTGAGCTGGTAAGAGAGAAGGTTATAAAAATCAAGGAAAACTTCCGTGATTGGTCTACACTTTCCAAATAGAAAAGACAGACAGTGGTCCCAGCGGGGTGGTGCTGGGGTCAGGGAAGCATGGGAAGGTAACCCTAACTTCCCACCAAATGTCTGGCCAGGGGCACATGCCAACCGACCCTCTGTCTGTGTGAGGGCCTGCACCAGGTGTTGGGCTTCTTCCTGGATGTGGTCCTCCATGCTTCTCTTCCCCATCCCAAGGTTCCGCAGGATCATGAGAGTAAACCGACGCAGTTGCTTCCACCGCTGGCTGTGACTGAAAACAATCCCTGAGGGAAGAACCAAGGACAGGAGTCTAGTCACCAGAGGGCAGACAGAGGGGTTCTGGCGCAGGATGGGCTTCCTTGAGAACTTGTTTCAGAGGGTCAGACCGTCATGAACTTTTCCTGTTCTATAGACAAACAGCAACATTTACCTCAGGCTAATGCTAGGAAGTCGATTTTTTAAAGTCCACAGAATGTCGGTTCTTCCCTGGAGGCAGCTCATCTGAAGGGCTTTACTCTCAGACCCATCCCAATTTGGCTCCTGCCAAAACCCCAATTGGCTGCTTCTTTCCCTTTGTCCTATAGGAAAGCCCCATTAGGAGACACCTCACATCCAGCTGCAAGAACTGAAGTCATTTCTGCCATCCTCCCCACAGGGCTGTTGGGAAACACTGGCATGAGAGCGGGTGAGCCCACACCAGCTACCCATATCCATCAGTGGGGAAGCAAAGATATTTCTGATAATTTAAAGAATTCAAATCAATGTCTTCAGACTGATTCAATAGGATCTTGGTGCCATGAGCAAATTAATAAGCAGGTATAAAAGAAGCAAACAGGACAAAAGAGAAAGTTTGTAAGAACTAGAAACTGAGGGCATCTCTTCTTTTGACAGTGATGGGCTAGGTGATTCTGCTTAATCCCTTCTGCTGAGATAGAGATGCTGCATAAATCTTATGGTTCATAAGGACCAGTTGGAAGGCATCGCAGAGCCAACAAAGGAATGGGGAACTGTGGGGAATGCTTTCCCATAGAAGCACAGGTGACAGACAAAAACGCAGCAGAGCTGTTGAACACTGGGAAGGTCCCAGAAGCAAGAGTTGAGCCTGCCAAGGAGGGCATCTGTGGTAAACATCTGGGGCTGCACCCAGAAGTAAGGGTGACCTGGAGACAGACCAGCCCGATGGAGTCCACAGCCCAGCTTGAAGTCACCTGCTGGTGAAGGGCTAGTGTGCTCGCGGTGCTGCTGCCCCACCCACTCCAAGGAAGCAATAAATCCTCTCTGTAGGAAGATACCGCTATTAAAACCAGAAATTACCTCTGCAATTTTTCAGAGAAGATGTCTGGAACCTAATACAAAATTAGAAGTCATTCCAATAGACACGAGAAAAGGTCACAGCAACCGGTGGCAAAATCAGAGACTTTATAATAACTGTTGAGTAGGTCAGAGTTAAAAACATGATTAAGAATTTGTTAGAGATTGGGACGCCCGGGTGGCTCAGTTGATTAATCATCTGCCTTTGGCCCAGGTCATGGTCTCAGGGTCCTGGGATCGAGTCCCACATCGGGCTCCCTGCTCAGTGGGGAGCCTGCTTCTCCCTCTGCCTCTGCTGCTCCCCCAGCTGCAGAAGCACACCTTTGAAGGGAGAGACCAGATGCTACAGAGTACCTGCTGTAGACTTCCATGTCTATACAGTTCAAACCCAGGAAAATTAAACTATGGTGTTAGTTGCCAGAGTATGTGGGAGAAGGCAGAGAGTAATGTTCAGGGAGAGTGCAAGAGGGGACTTCCGTGGTGCTGGAGAGTTCATTCTTTCATCTGAGTGGTGGTTGCACATGTGGGTTCACCGTATGGTTCCCACTGAACTATATGTTTGTGACTTTGTACTAACCCCAGAAAATGGTTCAAGTGTTCTCTGAGTAATAGACACGAGGCTTAAGACTAAGCTGGTGACCTGAGAGAGGTCAAGGGAATCTTTCCTAATGTAGAAATAAAAAGACAGCAGTGGGGCAGGATGGATGCTGACGCCCCCAGCCTTGGACACAAAATGTGGCATCAGGACATCCAATTGAATTATTCTACTCACCAACCACCAGTCGGCCATGAAGGAAAGGAGGGCACTCCTGTGGATGTGAAGACTCAGAAAATACCCACACTCCCCCTCGCTTACTAGGGCAGTGCTCCCATGAAACACAAAGAGAGCACAGAAACAGGGGTCTGCTCCCTTCCCCTCTTGTGCACTGCAAGGCCTTTCCTGAAACCAACCCTTTCATCCACAGAAAACCTAGCACAGTACCTACCATCCAATGGCACAGCAACTCTGCAAGAACGTGGACATTTTAATCCTTCTAAAAATGAAGACCTGTCACTCAGTTTGAGTAACTTGCAAAAATCACCTGTGTAACGATCTGCCACCCTACAACCTCCCACCCCTTCAAAAAGCCACATATTCTGGAACAAGAAATGGAGGAGAATGGAAGGAGAGAAAAAGCACGTAGGTTGGGTGCTATGGGCTGGGCAGAGCTATGATGGGGTAACTGAGCTACCACAGCCCCAGCACCACTGCCACAGGAAGGGCTGTGGACCACAGAAATGGGCAGATCCGAGGCCCAAAGGGAAGTGGGCTGGCCGCCGCTCTGCACAGACACATACCGTATCCTCTGAGGGCATTATCCATGATGGGGAACCTCCCTCTGCCTCCAAAGTTGACCGCCTGACCGCACAGGGCATCCTTCACAGCCTCGTGTCCATGTAGCACGATGATTGGATGGGGGCCCAGACGCAGTGAGTACACAGGGCCATACTGCTCAGCCAGCTGGGGAGAGTGGCAAGGCACACCTGAACAACTGGCCCAGCTCCTGGACGCACAGGGGCAGTTAGAAGTGAAGACACTCCCTCCCAGAAGCCCCAGTGTCTGGCCAGCACCCTCCCTATCAGTGTGCCCCAGCCAAGACTCGGGGCTGCAGACAGGGGGCCACGCTGACCTGGGGGCGGGGTGACAGGACCCTGTCTGTGCAGGACTCATACTCTGGCCTCTCGACCTCTTGAGCCTTTCCTTAATCCCTTCCTTTATTGGAGAGAACAAATTCTTACTAAGTATTTGACAAATACTAGGTGCTACCCAGTGTCTCAGGACTGGGGAAAGGCAGGGCACGGCAGGAAATTTATCTTCTTTGATATATTCTAGTAGGCAAGACATAACGGTCAAGTCTAGAGTATGCTTGAGTGCAGACATGCCGATGGGAAACACCAGTAAGGCAGGGCAGAAGGCTGGGGGGTGGTCTCATTCTTGAGAGGTCACTAGGGAGGGTCTCCTTGGAAGGCAGCATTTTAACACCAAGAAAGGAGGGAAAGCCAGCCAGACGGATATCTATCTGTAGGAACAGTAGCCCCTGCAGGGGGATCACCAAAGCCCTGAGAATTGAGGGTGACTGGGGTGGGAAAGAGTGGGAGGCCAGTGTCCATGGTGGGTGACAAAGGGCAGGAGAGCGTGAGAGGCAGTGTGGGGGGTTAGGTGGTGGGAGGATGGGGATGGGGGAGTGGGAGGTCTAGGTCCCATGAGGCCTTTCCTGTGTGTCAGAGAGGGACACTGGCTGCTGAGGACATGGGCTCTCCCCTCCAGGGTCTCCCTATGTGGAGCATGAACAGAATGGAAGGAGGGGCATCTGTGGGCAGGAAGCTGTGTTGGATTGATCCAAGTACAGAGAGAAGGCCGGGTTCCTAATGTCTTTTCTAGGTAAAGTGAGGGGTTTGCTGGCGGCTGGGACATGGTGGGAGAGGGCAGTCAGGATGACTCCTGGCCTCTGGTCTGAGCAGTGATGAGAACCACTCCTTCTAGACAGGGGAAGGCAGGGAGAGGCGGCAGGGGCACAGTCCATGTCTGTCAGTGCGAAGAGCCCATGAGCTTCATGGTGCAGGTGCTGAGGAGCTCTGGGCTGTTGGCATGGAAGCTGTAGGACATGCTCTCTGATAGTTAGGTTTTCTCAGAGAACTGGGAGTAAGAACAACATGGGGGTGGGAGGGGACGCAGCTGGAGGTTTGAAGAAATAGGAGCAGCAGGAAAGAGTCCCCTAAGAGAGTGGGAGGAGGGAAGGAGGGGACATCCTGGGGCTGCAGTTTCATGAAGGGGCCCCAAGAGTTTGGGGACCCTTGAGTAGGGCCACCTGTGTCCTCCTGAGCCTGGCCTGGCAGACGCACAGACTCCGGGCAGGGAGAGAGGGGAGCAGAGTTGATACCAGGGAGAGAAGCACATGACTGGTAGTAGAATCTCAGCTAGGCTGGGACACGAAGGTGCCCAGGTGGGCATTGGAAAAAGTGGAGTGCCCACAGCCCTCTCTCCATGAATGAGGATAAGGGATTCCATGAGGGCCCTGCAGAAGCTTCTAGACCACAAGGCAGTCAAGGACACGTCCACCCACCTCTCTCTCCCTCACTCAGGTCAGAATCCACCTCTGTCTGAGGATTCTGATCCCCCCCCCTCATAACCCTTTCCAAGTGGAAGCCCTTGATCCTTGCATCTGGGTCTACAAGGTGTTGGACTGATCAAAGGGCAGGAATATGGAACCAACATGCTGACAGGTCTCACTGGAGTTGACCTTGAGATCTCACAGGTGCAGCTGGAAAGCCAGATGGGTGCTGGGCACTTTGAATCATGATGATGGGGTGCAGTTTTGGCAATGACCACCCTGTGGATACACTCCTCACTCAACAGGTGCTCCGTATATTATGGTCTTAGGTCAGTCAGACTCAGAGCTGAACAAAACAGAGTCCCCCACTCCTCCCTCTCATGTCAGAGACTGTTAGAGGGGCCTTGGAGAGCCATCAGTCAAGAATGGAGACATTTTTGAGGGGTCACCACTCCTGGTCTCTTCAAGAGGATCAAATAAACAAAAAGTGGGATATTCTAGCACAACTGAAAGAAACCAACACACCCCCCGCCCAATGTTAGCTGGGAAATCTGAGTAAAGCACTTATACCAACCCAGGGAGCAACTGGTCAGACCTGAGGGGGTCTTACCCTGGAGAGAGAGGTGGGCAGGTCCCAAAGGTTCACCTGCAGGATATTCCCAATGATGGGAAGAGGAGGAGGACCAGGAGGGAGCAAAAGCCCATGAGTGCCTTCTCTTCTCCACACAAAGATGAACAGCAGGAAAGCCACACAAGCCACCAGGAAGGTGGGCAGACTGAGTAGAGCCATGTCACCGTGTATGGGCGTGGAGCTGGCACTGAGAATGTCAACCATCGTTGATGCCTGCTGTTGAAGACAGTTTGTCATGATTGCAAATCAAGTGTACAGGAGACCCACATGCTCCCTTGAGCCTTGTTTAGAAATGTGATCGGTTTGGCATCTTTAAAGTCACTTCATTCAGACTCTACACTGTCCCCAACAGCGTTCCTCCTCGTCCCTTTGTTTGTCCCCCCACCTAGTCATCAGTTTGACTCTTCTCCCAGAAGAGAAAGAAAACCCAAAAGGGAAAATTTGGGTATCTCTTGGTGGCTGCCAGACTGAGTCCTGCTCCAGCAGACACAGCGGGCAGGTGGAAGAGGGTCTTTAACTGGATCCCCTGACCCCCTCTTCTTCCCAACCACATCCCACCTGATCTTCTCTGTCTTGGGCGTTGGCGGTGCCTCCACCTGTGGCACCCTCTTCTTCCTTCCCACTGGGCCCCTACATCACCTCTGCCAGGTTCAGTCCATTTAGGACAGAGCAGTCAGAATCTCCTTTAAAGACAAAGATCAGGCCAGGTCATTCACTTGCTGAAAAACCCGCAATGGGTTCCCAGGTATTTACCTGAGGGTAAAACCCCAAAGCCTTAGAAAGACCTCCAAGAACCCCCCCCACAGCCTGCACTTGCCATCCTGTCCTGTGGGACCTCCCAGCACTCAACTACCAAGAATGGTCCATGCAATGTGGGTGGCCTCCAGGGCATCTTCCCTGCCCTTTCCTCTGCTTGGGATGATGCCCATTCTGTATCTTCTGCAGACTCACCTGTACCTTCAGCCCCCAGCTTCTCCCTTATGCTCACCACATCAATCTTGCCTTCTCTCATGTTTTAAGTGGTGATTGTACATTAACTTTGACTGTCCACTGCGTTTGGACAGAGACCTTGGAATTCAGGACAGTGGGCTGGCGTCCACTTCACTTTGGACCCTGGGATGGGGTCCAGCGTCTCATGCCTCTACTGGGCAGGTGCATTTCACACACCCCCTGACATCCTCCATCTCAGGCACCTTCCATGGTTCCCTAACTCTTCCTCCTTTCCATCCCACAGTGGGCTGCTTCTTCATTTCAATTGGCATTTATTTGGTTATCAACAAGATTAAACAATTAGTATTTTTAGGTTTATGGGCCATTTGTAATATATGAACTGTTATTTGCCCATTTTTCTAATGAGATATTTACCTTATTGATTTTTCAAGATCTTTTTTTTTAATTTTATCATGTTATGTTAGTCATCATACAATATATCATTTGTTTTTGATGTAGTGATCCACAGTTCATTGTTTTTGTATAACACCCAGTGCTCCATGCAGTACATGCCCTCCTTAATACCCACCACCAGGCTAACCCATCCCCTCACCCCCCTCCCCTCTAAAACCCTCAGTTTGTTTCTCAGAGTCCATAGTCTCTCATGGTTTGTCTCTCCCTCCGATTTCCCCCCCTTCATTTTTCCCTTCCTTCTCCTAATGTCCTCCATGCTATTCCTTATGTTCCACAAATAAGTGAAACCATATGATAATTGCCTTTCTCTGCTTGACTTATTTCACTTAGCATAATCTCCTCCAGTCCCATCCATGCTGATGTAAAAGTTGGGTATTCATTTTTCTAATGGCTGATAATATTCCATTGTATATATGGACCACATCTTCTTTATCCATTCATCTGTTGAAGGGCATCTCAGCTCTTTCCACAGTTTGGCTATTGTGGGCATTGCTGCTATGAACATTGGGGTGCATATGGCCCTTCTTTTCACTACATCTATATCTTTGGGGTAAATACCCAGGAGTGCAATTGCTGGGTCATAGGGTAGCTCATTTTTAATTTTTTGAGGGACCTCCACACTGTTTTCCAAAGTGGTTGTACCAACTTGCATTCCCACCAACAGTGTAAGAGGGCTCCCCTTTCTCCACAACCTCTCCAACATTTGTTGTTTCTTGCCTTGTCAATTTTTCCCATTCTAACTGGTGTAAGGTGGTATCTCAATGTGGTTTTGATTTGAATTTCCCTGATGGCTAATGATGATGAACATTTTTTCATGTGTCTCTTAGCCATTTGTATGTCTTCTTTGGAGAAGTGTCTGTTCACGTCTTCTGCCCATTTTTTGACTTATTTGTTTTTTGGGTGTTGAGTTTGAGAAGTTCTTTATAGATCTTGGATACCAGCTCTTTGTCTGTAGTGTCATTTGCAAATATCTTCTCCCATTCTGTGGGTTGCCTCTTTGTTTGTTGACTGTTTCCTTTGCTGTGCAGAAGCTTTTTATCTTCATGAAGTCCCAAAAGTTCATTTTTGCTTTTGTTTCACTAGCCTTTGGAAATGTATCTTGAAAGATTTTCAAGATCTTTATGATATAGTCAATTTTCAAAAAAGGCAATAACACCTTCATCTCTCCAAATAATGTGCACATTAAATTACTGGACATGTTCCCCAAATTATGTATCAGTTTGTCGTATTTCCTGTCAGGATATTCAAGACAATGTTTTACATGAGAAATAATGACCATTTATTCCTTTTCTGGCATTTTAAATTAAAGTTCATTTTTTTAAAGCTAAATCCTCATTTTAACTGGGGAAACAATGCAAAGATAAGTGAAGAAAGTTACTACCTCTCCCACCTCTCCTCCAGACTCACTCCTGCGAAGTCCCTAGGGTCAGCAGCCAGCCACATATTGCTCCTTTTGGCCACACATATAGATGCATGGAGGTGGGGTGAGGGAGCCACTGCTGCTGGATTACAAAACACAGGGCCTTGCTAGGGCGCCTGGGTGGCTCAGTCAGTGAAGTGCCTGCCTTCAGCTCCACTCGTGATCCCAGCATCCTGGGATCGAGCCCAGCATAGGGTTCCCTGCTTACTGGGGAGCCTGCTTCTCCCTCTGCCTCTGCGCTCCTCCTGCTCATGATCATGCTCTCTCTTAAATAAATAAAATCTTTATTTTTTTATTATTTTTTAAATTTTTCATTATGTTCAGTTAACCAATATATAGTACGTCATAAGTTTTTGTTGTAGTGTTCAATGATTCATTAGTTGCTTATAACAAAATAACAAAAAATCTTTAAAACAAAAAACAGGGCCTTGCTGTTCCACTCCCCTACTTTCTTTTTTTTTTTTAGATTTTATTTATTTATTTGAGAGAGAGAGTGTACACACAGAAGAAGAGGGAAAGTGAGAAGCAGAAGCAGACTCCCCATTGAGCAGGGAGCCCACTGTGGGGTTAGAGCCCAGTACCCTGAGATCATGACCTGAGCCAAAGACAGATGCCTAACCAGCTGAATCACCCAGGAACCCCTTGCCTACTTGTTTTTTATTCCCTCACCAAATATTTCTTGGGCATTCTCTTTGATATCAATGGATGTAGATTCTGGTCATTCCTTTAAATGCTGCACAATATTCCATGGTGTGATACATGATAAAATAAAGGAAATTTTCAACTTCTAATGTTTATGGGCCCTGATCCTGGGCTCCCAGGGAAGCCATACTTGAACATTTACCAAGGTCAGAATGACTGGGCAAAGTCTCAAAACATGGTTCTATTTCTGCCCCAGCACACTTTGTACATCAGCTTTGTTTAAAATATAACCAAAAGGGGGCATTCCAAACACAAAGATAAACAAAAGGAAGAAAGCTCACTTGTTCCTGTAAGATTAAGGTTACACAGTCCTTACACACCAGAAGCTGAAGATGAGGTCAGCAACTTTTTCTGAAATGCCCTTTGTCTGATGACTTGTAACTTTTTTTTAAAAAGATTTATTTATTTATTGACATAGAGAGACGCAGCGAGAGAGGGAACACAAGCAGGGGGAGTGGGAGAGGGAGAAGCAGGCTTCCCGCTGAGCAGGGAGCCCGATGTGGGGCTCGATCCCAGGACCCCGGGATCACAACCTGAGCCGAAGGCAGACGCCCAATGACTGAGCCACCCAGGCGCCCTGACTTGTAACTTTTTATGTAAACATATAACCCTCTACCAAGTGTTCTTCCCTGGAGCATCCTCTTCTCTGTGAAGATCATGTTCCCCAGGCAGCTGTCTTCACTTGGGCTCAAATAAAGCTCTTCTTTTTAGAGATTCTAAAAGATTTGTTCATTTTTGTATCGACATACACCACACTCAATAAATTGTTTCCCCAAGAAGGTACGTTTGTGTTGTTTCCAGTTTTCTTGTTTGCTTTTTGCCCACAGTAAAGGACACTGTCTTGAGGATTCTCTCACATAATTTTCATTTCCTATTGTTGCTATTTCTGTGGTTCCCAAAACCAGAATAATTGGGTCAAAGGGTCTGTATCATTTTCCTTGGAGGAGGTTTTGCCAGATTACTTTCAAGAAGGCTGGAGCAGCTGCCTCTCATCCCACGCTCATGTGTTCCCCACTTGCCCACCTTCCTGCCTCAGTGGGTCTCAGGGGATTGGCCTGGAGGAGAACCGTGCATCAGTCACTACATTGTCCCGATCTGCATGTTCCCACTGACAAGTGTAAACATCTTCCATGTGCTCACTAGAATCAAGGTTGCAATTTCCAACCCTTGCACTCAAATCCAGGTGTGCTTTGTTCTTATTTCCACAGAACACGTTCCCAACCTGAGAATGCTGGTTCAGAAGGTTTATGTATCTTTAAAATATAATTATTTAATTTCCTTATCTATTAATTACCTGTCCATTTTCCTTGTCCATCTTTCTCCTGGTTGTTTATCCTTTTTTTCCAAATTGTATGTGTTCTTCACATGTAAGGGGATTAAGTATTTGCTTATCATGTGAGTGTATATGCACAATCTTCCCTGTGTGGTTTCATTATGCTGGCTTTAATACAATCAGATACATCTATCTTTTTTAATGGCTTCTGCATTTTCTGTATTGCTTAGCACAGATTTGTTGGAATTGCTTTCTAGATTTTCTTCATGGATAGATAGATGAATAGATATTCTTTTAAAATATGCTTTCAACAGAGTTGCTCCAGCATCTTGTGAAGAAACCACAGGGACTCAGCTCCTG